CATTTAAAAATATACCAGAAATGCTACAAATGATGCAAAGGTGACATTAATATAATATCAAAGATGGTTTACACAAACCCACTACCATTATAGTATACTCCTCACGTAGCGACGAATTTGTTTAGTGACGTGGTCTTAGAAACGCAACTCCATCGTTAAGTGACGAGAGGCTGTATTTAGGAGCAGAATTGTTGGCAGATGGGTTTATGAAGGACGAGGTTAACCACAAAACTGATAAAGAAAAAAAAGGCGCGTGGTGCAATGAGGTATCTGTGACGAAAGAATGTTATCCATGCAGGCAAAGAAGGGAATGTACAAGAGTATAATGGTACCAACAATCTTATATGGGTGTGAGGCATGGGTTGTGAATGCTACAGCAAGGAATCTAGAGGCAGTGGAGATGTTGTGTCTAAGGGCAGTATGTGGTGTAAATATTATGCAGAGAATTCGAAGTGTGGAAATTAGGAGGTGTGGAGTTACTAAAAGTATTATTCAGAGGGTTGTAGAGGGGTTGTTGAGGTGGTTTAGTCATTTAGAGATGATGTAGCAAAATATGATGGCTTGGAGGGTGTATGAATCTGTAATGGAGGGGAGGAGGGTAGGGGTCATTCTAGAAAAGGATGGAGGGGGGTAAAAAGTTTTGTGTGCAAAGGCCTGGGCATGCAGCAGGTATGTGTGAGCATGTTAGATAGGAGTGAATGGAGACGAGTGATTTTTGAGACCTGACAAGCTGTTGGAATGTGAGCAGTGTATTTTTTGGTAAAGGGATTAGTATAATGCCTGCACTTTGAAAGAGGGGTCTGGAATACTGACTGTTTAGAGTGACATCTAAACTGACCTATCTGGGCACCTCTGCAAAGACAGTGATTGGGTGAATGATGGTGAAAGTGTTCTTTTTTTTTTGGGGGGGGGGGGGGGGGGAACCCTGCCTCAATGGGAGATGGCTGATATGTTAAGAAAAAAAAACTGGAAGATCATAGGGCTGAAATATTTTTTTTTTTTTAACACATCAGCCGATTCCCACCAAGGAAGGGTGGTCCGAAAAAATAAAAACTTTCATCATCATTCACTACATCACTGTCTTGCCAGAGGGGTGATTTACACTACAGTTATAAAGCTGCAACATTAACACCCCTCCATCAGAGTGCAGACACTGTACTTCCCATCTCAAGGACTCAAGTCTGGCCTGCCGGTTTCCCTGAATCCATTCATAAATGTTACTCTGCTCACACTCCAACAGCAAGTCAAGTATTAAAAACCATTTGTCTCCATTCACTCCTATCAAATATGCTCACGCATGCTTGCTGGAAGTCCAAGCCCCTCCCACACAAAACCTCCTTTACCCCCTCCCTCCAACCCTTCCTAGGCCGACCCCTACCCCACCTTCCCTCCACTACAGATTTATACACTCTTGAAGTCGTTCTGTTTTGTTCCATTCTCTCTACATGTCTGAACCACCTCAACAACCCCTCCTCAGCCCTCTGGATAACAGTTTTGGTAATTCCACACCTATTTCTAATTTCCAAACTATGAATTCTCTGCATTATATTCACACCACACATTGCCCTTAGATGTGACATCTTCACTGCCTCCAGCCTCCTCCTCGCTGCAACATTCATCACCCATGCTTCACACCCATACAAGAGTGTTTGCACAACTATACTCTCATATATTCCCCTCTTTGCTTTTATGGACAAAGTTCTTTGTCTCCACAGACTCCTAACTGCACCACTCACCCTTTTCCCCTCATCAATTCTATGATTCACCTCAGCCTTCATAAACCCATCTGCTGAGACGTCCACTCCCAAATACATATCTAAATACATTCACCTCCCCCACACTCCCTCCCTGGGACCAATCTGATATCCAATCTTTCATCACCTAATCTTTTTATCCTCATAACCTTACTCTTTCCTATATTCACTTTTAATTTTCTTTTACATACGTACCAAATTCATCCACCAACCTCTGCAACTTCTCTTCAGAATCTCCCAAAAGCACAGTGTCATCAGCAAAGAGCAACTGTGACAACTCCCACTTTGTGTTTGATTCTTTATATTTTAACTTCACACCTCTTGCCAACACCCTTGCATTCACTTATCTTACAACCCCATCTATAAATATATTGAACAACCATGATGACATCACACATCCTTGTCTAAGGCCTACTATTAATAGGAAATAATCTCCCTCTCTCCTACATACTCTAACCAGAGCTTCACTATCCTCATAAAAACTCTTCACCTACCTCCTATACCATATACTTGCAACTTCTGCCACATTGTCCCTCTATCCACCCTGTCATATGCCTTTTCCAAATCCATAAATGTCACAAAAACCTCTTTACCCTTATCTAAGTACTGTACATCTATATATTTCACTGTAAACACTTGGTCTACACACCCCCCTATCTTTCCTAAAACCTAATTGTTCATCTGCTATCCAATTCTCCATCTTACTCTTAATTCTTTCAATAATAACTACCAAACACTTTACCAGGTATACTCAACCGACTTATTCCCCTATAATTTTTGCACCCTTTTTATCCCCTATGCCTTTATACAAAGGAACTATGCATGCTCTCTGCCAGTCCCTAGGTACCTTACCCCTTCCATCCATTTATTAAATAATATCACCAATCACTCCAAAACTATATCCCCACCTGCTTTTAACATTTTTATCTTTATCCCATCAATCCCAGCTGTCTTACCCCCTTTTATTCTACCCACTGCCTCAAAAACTTCCTCCCCCCACTCACAACTGGTTCTTCCTCACTCCTACAAGATGTTATTCCTCCTTGCCCTATACACAAAATCACAGCTTCCCTATCTTCATCAACATTTAACAATACCTCAAAATATTCCCTCCATCTTCCCGATACCTCTAACTCTCTATATAATAACTCTCCTCTCCTATTTTAAACTGCTAAATCCAATTGTTCCCTAGGCTTCCTCAACTTATTAATTAATCTCACTCCAAAAATTTTTCTTATTTTTAACAAAATTTGTTGATAACATCTCACCCACTCTCTCATTTGCTCTCTTTTTAGATTGCTTCACCACTCTCTTAACCTCTCTTTCTCTTCATATACTCTTCCCTCCTTGCATCACTTCTACTTTGTAAAAACCTCTCATGCTAACTTTTTCTCCCTTACTACTCTCTTTACATCATCATTCCATCAATTGCTCTTCTTCCCTCCCACACCCACTTTCCTGTAACCACAAACTTCTGCTGAACACTCTAACACTACATTCTTAAACCTACCCCATACATCTTTGACCCCAGTGCCTATATTCTCACTAGCCCATCTATCCTCCAATAGTTGTTTATATCTTACCCTAACTGCCTCTTCTTTTAGTTTATACACCTTCACCTCTCTCTTACTTGCTGCTTCTATTTTACTTGTATCCCATCTGATATATCTATGATCTGATATACCTGTGGCCCCTCTATAAACATTTACTTCCTGAAGTTTACTCAACAATCTTTTATCTACCAACACATAGTCCAACAAGCTACTGTCATTACGCCCTACATCATATCTTGTATACTTATTTATCCTCTTTTTTCTTAAAATACATATTACTTATAACTAAACCCTTTCTATAAAAAAGTTAAATCAAAGGGATCCCATTATCATTTACACCTGGCACCCCAAACTTACCTACCACACCCTCTAAATGTTTCTCCTACTTTTGCATTTAGGTCCCCTACCACAATTACTCTCTTACTTGGTTCAAAGGTTCCTATACATTCGCTTAACATCTCCCAAAATCTCTCTCTCTCTCTCCTCTACACTCCTCTCTTCCCTAGGTCATACACTCTTATTATGACCCACTTTTCACATCTGACCCTTATTTTAATCCACATCATGCTTGAATTTACACACTGATATTCCCTTTTCTCCTTCCATAACTGGTCCTTCAACATTATTGCTACTCCTTCCTTAGCTCTAACTCTCTCAGATAATACTGACTTAACCCTTAAACTGTCCAAACAAATTTACGTTCACATGCGTAGTGCTCCAAAAGTAGATTACGTTTTTTTACATATTTTCAAATATAACAAAAAAAAAAAGATCAGTTTTTTTACACGTTTTCAAATGTAAAAAAAAGAAAAGATCTACTTTTTTTACATACTTTCAAATGTTGAAAAAATGTAGATCTACGTTTGGACAGTTTAAGGGTTAATCCCATTTATTTCTCCCCACTGAAACTCGCCTACCCCCTTCAGCTTTGTTTCGCTTAGGGCCAGGACATCCAACTTTTTTTCATTCATAACATCAGCAATCATCTCTTTCTTATCATCTGCACTACATCCACGCACATTCAAGCATCCCAGTTTTATGAAGTTTTTCTTCTTCTCATTTTTAGTACATGTGTACAGGAGAAGGGGTTACTAGCCCATTGCTCCCGGCATTTTAGTTGCCTCAAACAACACGCATGGCTTACAGAGGTAAGATTCTGTTCCACTTCCCCATGGACAATAGAGAGAGAAAAAAGAACAAGAACTATTAAGAAAAAGAAGAAATAGCTGTAAGTCCATGAAGATGAGAGAACAAAGGCAAACAAGTGTAGACCAGAGGAACAGAATGGCCAAGGAATGACTGTGATATCACCACACCAAGAAGCATGAATGTGTATACCCAAGGAGCCTGTAGGAGTCACACTGACAATCTGATCCCCAGCATGGGCTACACAGTTCTGTAGAGGAGACCCAAAGGTGTGCCTGCATGATCATGAAATCTACACTAAATCATGTCTCACCTGGATGACCTATACTGAATATACAAGTATCTCACCTGGAAGACCTGTATTAAATATACAAGTGTCATATCTGGGAAACCTCCTACACTAAACATACTACAAGTGTCTCACCTGGAAGATCACCTGCACTGAACATACAACAAGTGTCTCACCTGGAAGATCACCTGCACTGAACATACAACAAGTGTCTCACCTGGAAGATCACCTGCACTGAACATACAACAAGAGTCTCACCTGGAAGACCTCCTGCACCAACTTCTTGATGCCCTCTTCATCATTAATTCTACGGATCATCTTCACACAGATCTCAGGAATTTTGATGAAATCCGGACATTCGAGACATATATCCTTTAAGATCTTGATAACACGTTTTCTTACACTAACACCCGTGTCCTGAGAGTATAATAAAATTTATCATTAGTTACGGTTCTCTCTGAATGTTATATAATAGGATTATAATATTCAATGTTAACAAAAAAAGTTACTTAGCTGACATATAACAGCAGATTTCATAAAAGAACAACAGACACTAATAATACTTTACCAATATTCTCGCAGAAATCATTTCATAATAAGTGTTAAGGACTTCTGGACGTGATAACACGAACTTCCCAACTAAATCAACAGCTGCTTCTCTGACAGAAGTTGAATGATCTAAAAAAGAGTGGTGTACACCTAGCTGCATGTCATTACGAGACAGAACTCCAGGATCCGCCTCAACTACCATAGTTAGGCACTTCATAGCCTTTGTGCGCACTGCGATAGCAGACTCCGTCAGTACTCTCAGAATCTATTGAAAAAATTAGATTGTACCAGTCTAAGTTAAAGTTTAAAAATTACATTTTAGCAATTAGATTTTCAAAGCAAATTCTAGTCTTTTAAACCTTATAAAACATTTTTTCAAAATAATGTGCAATGATCCCCACTGTTATAATTTATTCTACAATTATCAACCTTTCATGTTAGCTTTATGAAGAAGAAAAGTATAACTTAAATTTTATAAACTGCTGTAAGATGGCTATAGAACTATAAATACAACATATTATGAACTTATAATGCATAATACAGGTCCGCCATCACAAATCCGGCAATCAGTTATTCGGTTCCTTCAGTTATTCGGCACTAATTTTGGCTAGCATAATTTCAAATTTCCAGGGTCGCCACACCAACCTGCTGGTACTGTTTGGTGGCGCTACTTGCTGCACAAGTCATTCCAATTTCTTTTTCTCCATTTATTGTTTTAACCTGCTTACTTTTAGCCCTAGCCATGGTTCCAGTGAATAAAAGAAATGCTTCTCATTGTGTAAAGCACCTACACAGTACATTATCCATTAAAGATAAGGTGGCTTTGAAGCCACTGTCGGTTGTCATGAGCTCAGTCTCATGAAGCAGGAGAATATGCTTTATTATTACGCTAATATCAACACTACAGCTTATTTGCCTATCACAATTGATCTAATATGATATAAGAAACAATATAAATAACATAAAACATGTTAAATACTCCAGAATGAATAATATTTGGCATAATACTGAGCAGTTCGACGGAGGTATGAAGAGGATATGGTATACAAATACCATTCTCCTAGCCGTCTTGGGGGCTTATATTAGAGAAAACGGAGTGTAGCACAGGGCTAACTGTGATATACACTCGTACTGCACCATAAACCTGAAACAAAAAAGTTATTTTCTCTCTATAGATTATCATACATAGCAGCATGTGTGTAGAGAACCTAGGATAACCCAAAAAAGTCAGACAACGTGGCTTACTTCTAGTACCTGGCTTGGGTTAGCCATATATGATTTTTGGTAAATACTCATATCCCAGCCAGGGTAGAAACATTGGGCGTGTTTCTTTACACCTGTTGTCTATGTTCACCCATCAGTAAATGGATACCTGGGTGTTAGACAACTGCTGTGGGTGTCATCCTGGGACACTGACCTAATTTACTTGAAATACTCTGCATAACAAGCAGCTTTCTATATAACTGTATGTCACTGATGTCTGCTAGGCCTGTATATATTATTATTAGTTATTTTCTCAATTGTTTGTTGGGTTATCTTATTGAAACTTGGGCAATGTATGATGGAAACATACTTCTTAATGTACACCAAAAATGAAAGAAATCAGACCATAAATAGCGGAGTTCACTTCTCAGCCATTAGCGGCCTCTTTTTGTATGGTTATGGTTATATTCTCATTTTTTTGGTCTCATTTGATAGAATGAAAGATATATTACAGAAATAGATTTGATTTTGATTGCATTCATGATGAAAAGTACCTTGAAATTGCACTCACAGTAGCGAAAATGTTCTATTCTTTAGCGAATCTCAAGAGTAAACAAATGACGTCACTGTCCAATACCTGTCTGCCTGCCAGTCCAAATTCCAATACGGAGTCAAGAATGGGTTGACATTATTTATACAATTATTACAATAATGCAGCAGTCTGCATAACAGTAAATCTTCTATTTTTCTTGTGAATAAAAATTCCAAATGGAAAGCAAGGGTCATATAAGAGTGGCCTGTAGCCGTGACTAATGAACAGAGAAAATGTTATTTTAGTGCCAGGAATGTCTGCATTGTTTATTCTGGACCCTATTTTGAAACTGGCATCTGTTGAAATTTGTGTGAAATTGGCCAAATTGCCAATTTCTGACCAATATATTGGGTTGTTGAAATAAGTGAATGGGCGGTTTCTCGTACGTACTCAGTCGACAGACTAGAAGTAAGTAAATAAGTAAGTTTATTCAGGTATACACAAATACAGTTACATAGATTATCATACATAGCAGCATATGTATACAGCAACTAGGATAACCCAAAAAAGTCAAAGTGACTTATTTCTGGTACCTGGCTTGGACTTGCCATATATGATTTTTGGTAAATATTTTTTTCTCAGTTGTTTGTTGGGCTATCTCATTGAAACTTGGGCAATGTATGATGGAAAGATGCTTCTTAACGTACACCAAAAATAAAAAAGATGGACGATAAATAAGGGAGTTCACTTCTCAGCCATTAGCCGCCTCTTTGTGGTATATTTTCGCTTGGTTTTTATGGTTGTATTCTCGTTTTTTTGGTCTCATTTGATAGAATGGAAGATATATTACAGACATAGACATGATTTTGATTGCTTTCATGACGAAGAGTACCTTGAAATTGACCTCAAAGTAGCGGAAATGTTTGATTTTTGCCGATGTTCAATGAACTTTGTGCAAGTCAAGTTGGTTAATTTTATTAAGTGTTTTCTAACCTAAGCACTTTGTAATCCATCAAACTCAGTAATCTGGCACACTACAGGTCCCAATGATGCTGGATTTGTGATGGAGGACCTGTATAGAAATAAGACATGTGAAACAATTAAGCATCTTTATTCCAATATATTTTGCCTACACAGCAGGCTTCATCAGTTGAAAACACAAGTGGCAAACAGAGAAAGTAGTAGCAGAGAGGTAAAGATGATGATCAGTTTGAGGTGGTCAGTCCTTCATCCTGGAGATCAGGAAGACAGCAAATTTAGTATCTACAATAGACTGCTCGATAACATGCAACCTTTTAATATGTTTTCAATCCAACACAGTTCCAAAATTATGGCATATTTTCTGTGAACATACTGTAAAATATCAGTTACATGGTGGAGTACACATAGGGAAAAATGTGGCACACGGCATCCTCTTTCCCTTCCGCTTGATAGTGAGCCTCAGAGCGAGTACATTGTCTTGAGGAGGAGGCCTACATAATGTACACAACCTCTCTCACACAGAGCTTCATTTGGAAGAGTCCAATAACACACTTCACCTGTGTTAGTGAATCAGCTTTGATATTTTCATCATCCCATCTGGTCTCTGGATAGTGACAATGGCACCCCACCTAACCTAACCACTACCAATGACCTGGCACACCACCACAGACTTGACATACCACCACCACCAGACCTAGCACACTACCACCACCACAGACCTGGCACACTACCATAACTACTCACCTGTTTAAGATACATATCAAAGCTCTGAGAGAATGGTCTTTTTGATGCCAAGTATCTGGTGATGAGCTCAGCATTTTCATAATCTATGTGGGTTTGCAGAGTCTGTGTCTTGGCTCCCGGTGACGCTGGTGGAAAGGCTGGTATCTAAAGCAATAAGCATGCTACATTAGTCATCAAAAAGGTCAAAATCCTCATAAAATCTTATTTTAATTCTTACCTTTTTATTCTCTGCCACGTATATATTCAAAATTTTTAATATAGTGTGTAGTAAAATAATGAAGCATTTCCCTATAAAATATCTTGAAAAAATTCCACAATAAATTATCACAATTTTTTTTTTCGACACGCCAGCCATCTCCCACCAAGGCAGGTTGGCTCAAAAAAAGAAACACTTCCACCATTATTCAACACTTTCACCATCATACACACATAATCACTGAAGAACAGGATGTGAGTGTGGGGGAGGTGTGTGAGGCATTACGTAGAATGAAAGGAGGTAAAGCAGCTGGAACTGATGGGATCATGACAGAAATGTTAAAAGCAGGGGGGGATATAGTGCTGGGGTGGTTGGTATTTTTGCTTAATAAATGTCTCATAAACACGCTAAGATAACAGGGATATCTTGCTACTCCTACTTACACTTTGGTCACACTTCACAGACACGCACATGCATATATATATATACATACATCTAGGTTTTTCTCCTTTTTCTAAATAGCTCTTGTTCTTTTTATTTCTTCTATTGTCCATGGGGAAGTGGAAAAGAATCTTTCCTCCGTAAGCCATGCGTGTCGTATGAGGCGACTAAAATGCCGGGAGCAATGGGCTAGTAACCCCTTCTCCTGTATACAATTACTAAAAAAGAGAAGAAGAAAAACTTTATAAAACTGGGTTGCTTAAATGTGCGTGGATGTAGTGCGGATGACAAGAAACAGATGATTGCTGATGTTATGAATGAAAAGAAGTTGGATGTCCTGGCCCTAAGCGAAACAAAGCTGAAGGGGTAGGAGAGTTTCAGTGGGGGGAAATAAATGGGATTAAATCTGGAGTATCTGAGAGAGTTAGAGCAAAGGAAGGGGTAGCAGTAATGTTAAATGATCAGTTATGGAAGGAGAAAAGAGAATATAAATGTGTAAAATTCAAGAATTATGTGGATTAAAGTAAAGGTTGGATGCGAGAAGTGGGTCATAATAAGCGTGTATTGCACCTGGAGAAGAGAGGAATGCAGAGGAGAGAGAGAGATTTTGGGAGATGTTAAGTGAATGTATAGGAGCCTTTGAACCAAGTGAGAGAGTAATTGTGGTAGGGACTTGAATGCTAAAGTAGGAGAAACTTTTAGAGAGGGTGTGGTAGGTAAGTTTGGGGTGCCAGGTGTAAATGATAATGGGAGCCCTTTGATTGAACTTTGTATAGAAAGGGGTTTAGTTATAGGTAATACATATTTTAAGAAAAAGAGGATAAATAAGTATACACGATATGATGTAGGGCGAAATGACAGTAGTTTGTTGGATTATGTATTGGTAGATAAAAGACTGTTGAGTAGACTTCAGGATGTACATGTTTATAGAGGGGCCACAGATATATCAGATCACTTTCTAGTTGTAGCTACACTGAGAGTAAAAGGTAGATGGGATACAAGGAGAATAGAAGCATCAGGGAAGAGAGAGGTGAAGGTTTATAAACTAAAAGAGGAGGCAGTTAGGTAAGATATAAACAGCTATTGGAGGATAGATGGGCTAATGAGAGCATAGGCAATGGGGTCGAAGAGGTATGGGGTAGGTTTAAAAATGTAGTGTTAGAGTGTTCAGCAGAAGTTTGTGGTTACAGGAAAGTGGGTGCAGGAGGGAAGAGGAGCGATTGGTGGAATGATGATGTAAAGAGAGTAGTAAGGGAGAAAAAGTTAGCATATGAGAAGTTTTTACAAAGTAGAAGTGATGCAAGGAGGGAAGAGTATATGGAGAAAAAAGAGAAGGTTAAGAGAGTGGTGAAGCAATGTAAAAAGAGAGCAAATGAGAGAGTGGGTGAGATGTTATCAACAAATTTTATTGAAAATAAGAAAAAGTTTTGGAGTGAGATTAACAAGTTAAGAAAGCCTAGAGAACAAATTGATTTGTCAGTTAAAAATAGGAGAGGAGAGTTATTAAATGGAGAGTTAGAGGTATTGGGAAGATGGAAGGAATATTTTGAGGAATTGTTAAATGTTGATGAAGATAGGGAAGCTGTGATTTCGTGTATAGGGCAAGGAGGAATAACATCTTGTAGGAGTGAGGAAGAGCCAGTTGTGAGTGTGGGGGAAGTTCGTGAGGCAGTAGGTAAAATGAAAGGGGGTAAGGCAGCCGGGATTGATGGGATAAAGATAGAAATGTTAAAAGCAGGTGGGGATATAGTTTTGGAGTGGTTGGTGCAATTATTTAATAAATGTATGGAAGAGGGTAAGGTACCTAGGGATTGGCAGAGAGCATGCATAGTTCCTTTGTATAAAGGCAAAGGGGATAAAAGAGAGTGCAAAAATTATAGGGGGATAAGTCTGTTGAGTGTACCTGGTAAAGTGTATGGTAGAGTTATAATTGAAAGAATTAAGAGTAAGACAGAGAATAGGATAGCAGATGAACAAGGAGGCTTTAGGAAAGGTAGGGGGTGTGTGGACCAGGTGTTTACAGTGAAACATATAAGTGAACAGTATTTAGATAAGGCTAAAGAGGTCTTTGTGGCATTTATGGATTTGGAAAAGGCGTATGACAGGGTGGATAGGGGGGCAATGTGGCAGATGTTGCAAGTGTATGGTGTAGGAGGTAGGTTACTGAAAGCAGTGAAGAGTTTTTACGAGGATAGTGAGGCTCAAGTTAGAGTATGTAGGAAAGAGGGAAATTTTTTCCCAGTAAAAGTAGGCCTTAGACAAGGATGTGTGATGTCACCGTGGTTGTTTAATATATTTATAGATGGGGTTGTAAGAGAAGTAAATGCGAGGGTCTTGGCAAGAGGCGTGGAGTTAAAAGATAAAGAATCACACACAAAGTGGGAGTTGTCACAGCTGCTCTTTGCTGATGACACTGTGCTCTTGGAGATTCTGAAGAAAAAGTTGCAGAGATTGGTGGATGAATTGGTAGGGTGTGCAAAAGAAGAAAATTAAAGGTGAATACAGGAAAGAGTAAGGTTATGAGGATAACAAAAAGATTAGGTGATGAAAGATTGAATATCAGATTGGAGGGAGAGAGTATGGAGGAGGTGAACGTATTCAGATATTTGGGAGTGGACGTGTCAGCGGATGGGTCTATGAAAGATGAGGTGACTCATAGAATTGATGAGGGAAAAAGAGTGAGTGGTGCACTTAGGAGTCTGTGGAGACAAAGAACTTTGTCTTGGAGGCAAAGAGGGGAATGTATGAGAGTATAGTTTTACCAACACTCTTATATGGGTGTGAAGCGTGGGTGATGAATGTTGCAGCGGGGAGAAGGCTGGAGGCAGTGGAGATGTCATGTCTGAGGGCAATGTGTGGTGTGAATATAATGCAGAGAATTCGTAGTTTGGAAGTTAGGAGGAGGTGCGGGATTACCAAAACTGTTGTCCAGAGGGCTGAGGAAGGGTTGTTGAGGTGGTTCGGATATGTAGAGAGAATGGAGCGAAACAGAATGACTTCAAGAGTGTATCAGTCTGTAGTGGAAGGAAGGCGGGGTAGGGGTCGGCCTAGGAAGGGTTGGAGGGAGGGGTAAAGGAGGTTTTGTGTGCGAGGGCTTGGACTTCCAGCAGCATGCGTGAGCGTGTTTGATAGGAGTGAATGGAGACAAATGGTTTTTAATACTTGACGTGCTGTTGGATGTGAGCAAAGTAACATTTATGAAGGGATTCAGGGAAACCGGCAGGCCGGACTTGAGTCCTGGAGATGGGAAGTACAGTGCCTGCACTCTGAAGGAGGGGTGTTAATGTTGCAGTTTAAAAACTGTAGTGTAAAGCACCCTTCTGGCAAGACAGTGATGGAGTGAATGATGGTGAAAGTTTTTCTTTTTCGGGCCACCCTGCCTTGGTGGGAATCGGCCGGTGTGATAATAAAAAAAAAAAAAAAAAGTATGAAAGAGGGGAAGGTACCTAGGGATTGGCAGAGAGCATGTATAGCCCCTTTATATAAAGGGAAGGGGGACAAAAGAGATTGTAAAAATTATAGAGGAATAAGTTCACTGAGTATACCAGTATATATTTTTATATAGCCGGACTTGAGTCCTGGAAATGGGAAGTACAATGCCTGCACTCTAAAGGAGGGGTTTGGGATATTAGCAGTTTGGAGGGATATGTTGTGTATCTTTATACGTATATGCTTCTAAACTGTTGTGTTCTGAGCACCTCTGCAAAAACAGTGATTATGTGTGAGGTGAAAATGTTGAATGATGATGAAAGTACAGTGGACCCCCGCATAACTATCACCTCCCAATGCGACCAATTATGTAAGTGTATTTATGTAAGTGCGTTTGTACGTGTATGTTTGGAGGTCTGAAATGGACTAATCTACTTCTCAATATTCCTTATGGGAACAAATTCAGTCAGTACTGGCACCTGAACATACTTCTGGAATGATAAAATATCGTTACCCGGGTTTCCACTGTATTTTCTTTTTGGGGATTTTCTTTCTTTTTTGGGTCACCCTGCCTCAGTGGGAGACGGCCGACTTGTTGAAAAAAAAAAAAGGGAAAAGTGTACGGTAGGGTTATTATTGAAAGAATTGGAGGCCAGACAGAATGTAGGATTGTGGATGAGCAAGGAGGATTTAGAGTGGGTAGGGGATGTGCAGATCAGGTGTTTACATTGAAACATATATGTGAACAGTATTTAGATAAAAGTAAGGAAGTTTTTATTGCATTTATGGATTTAGAAAAGGCATATCAGAGTGGATAGGGGAGTAATGTGGCAGATGTTGCAAGTATATGGAATAGGTAGTAAGTTACTAAATGCTGTAAAGAGTTTTTTATAAGGATAGTGAGGCTCAGGTTAGGGTGTGTAAAACAGAGGAAGGCTACTTCCCAGTAAAAGTAAGTCTTAGACAGGGATGTGTAATGTCACCATGGTTGTTTAATATATTTATAAATGAAGTTGTAAAAGAAGTAAATGCTAGGGTGCTCGGGAGAGGGGTGGGATTAAATTATGGGGAATCAAATACAAAATGGGAATTGACACAATTACTTTTTGCTGATGACACTGCTTATGGGAGATTCTAAAGAAAAATTGCAAAGGTTAGTAGACAACTTTGGGAGTGTGTGTAAAGGTAGAAGGTTGAAAGTGAACATAGAAAAGAGTAAGGTGATGAGGGTAACATATGATTTAGATAAAGAAAAATTGGATATCAAATTGGGGAGGAGTATGGAAGAAGTGAATGTTTTCAGATATTTGGGAGTTGACGTGTCAGCGGATGGATTTATGAAGGATGAGGTTAATCATAGAATTGATGAAGGGAAAAAGGCAAGTGGTGCGTTGAGGTATAGGTGTAGACAAAAAACGTTATCTATGGAGGCAAAGAAGGGAATGTATGAAAGTATAGTAGTACCAACACTCTTATATGGGTGTGAAGCTTGGGTTGTAAATGCTGCAGCGAGGTGGCGGTTGGAGGCAGTGGAGATGTCCTGTCTAAGGGCAATGTGTGGTGTGAATATTATGCAGAAAATTCGGAGTGTGGAAATTAGGAGAAGGTGTGGAGTTGATAAAAGTATTAGTCAGAATGCTAAAGAGGGGTTGTTGAGATGGTTTGGTCATTTAGAGAGAATGGATCAAAGTAGAATAACATGGAAAGCGTATAAATCTGAAGAAGGAAGGCGGGGTAGGGGTCGCCCTCGAAAAGGTTGGAGGGAGAGGGGTAAAGGAGGTTTTGTGGGCGAGGGGCTTGGACTTCCAGCAAGCGTGTGCGAGCGTGTTAGATAGGAGTGAATGGAGACGAATGGTATTTGGGACCTGACGAGCTGTTGAAGTGTGAGCAGGGTAATATTTAGTGAAGGGATTCAGGGAAACCGGTTATTTTTACATAACCGGACTTGAGTCCTGGAAATGGAAAGTACAATGCTTGCACTTAAAAAGAGGGGTTTGGGATATTGGCAGTTTGTAGGGATATGTTATGTATCTTTATACGTATATGCTTCTAAACTGTTGTATTCTGAGCACCTCTGCAAAAATAGTGATTATGTGTGAGTGATGTGAAAGTGTTGAATGATGAAAGTATTTTCTTTTTGGGGATTTTCTTTCTTTTTTGGGTCACCCTGCCTCGGTGGGAGACGGCCAACTTGTTGAGAAAAAAAAAAAAGCACAATCACTGTCTTATCAATTTTTTTTTATCAGAATTTATTATTAGTTAATACACCACACAAAGATACAAAACTTGCTGAAGATAAATTAATTTTCTACTGTTTATCACAATGTTACTCACAGCTGATACATCAACTGGATACCCAGGCACTAGTGCAGCTGCTAGATGCAATACACTCACACTGGATATACATCTAATACATCAACTTGATACCCAGGACTGGTGAAGCTAATAGGTAAACCAGAGGGTTGCCTATAGCATCAGACAACATAAGCCAGTAATTAATCAAAGTTCAAAAACTTCAGCAGTGAGAAACAGATTATCTAGATGCATTGATATGCTTTTTTTTTTTTAACAAGTCGGCCATCTTCTACCGAGGCAGGGTGATATACATCAGTATAATTTCAGTGTCTGAATGGCTGAACCTTCAGTGTAGCTGATTAAACTACACATTTAATAAACCCATCACTAACCACTGAGGGATGAAGAGCAAGAGGGGCACTGGTCCAACACACATACTTTTTTTTTTTTTAACAAGTCAGCTGTTTCCCACCGAGGCAGTGTGACCCAAAAGAAAGAAAAACTCAAAACGGAAAAAAAAACTTTCAGCGTTATTCAACACTTTCATCATCATTCATACATAATCACTGTCTCTGCAGAAGCGCTCAGATACGACAGCTTAAACGTCGCTCCAAACTGTCAATATCCCAAACCCATCCTTTAAGTGCAGGCACTGTACTTTCCACTTCCAGGATGCAATGCTGGTTATCCAGTTTCCCTGAATCCCTTCACAAAACATTACCTTGCTCACAGTCTAACAGCTCGTCAGGTCCGAAAAACCATTCATCTCTCCAATCACTCCTATCAAACAAGCTTACATACACTTGCTAGAAGTCCAAGCCCCTCACCCACAAAACCACCTTTACCCCCTCCCTCAACCCTTTTCAGGGACAACCCCTACCCCACCTTCCTTCTCCTACAGATTTATACGCTCTCCCAAGTCATTCTTTGTTCCATTCTTATTAAATGACCAAACTACCTCAACAGCCCCTCTTCAGCCTCACTAATACTTTCAGTAACTCCATACCTCCTCCTAATTTCCACACTACAAATTCTCTGCATAATATTTACACCACACACTGCCCTTAGACAGGACATCTCCACTGCCTCTTCCCTGTAGCATTTACAACCCAGGCTTCATACCAATATAAGTGTTGGTACCACTGTACTCTTGAGGACTCTCTTCTTTGCCTCCATGGATACCTCAATGCACCACTCACCTTTTCTTCTTCATCTATGGTTAACCTCATCCTTCATAAACCCATCCACTGACAAGTCAACTATGAAATATCTGAAAACAGTCACTTCTTCCATACTCCCTGCCTCCAATGTTTACATGGAGTTTACCTGGAGAGGGTTTCAGGGGTCAACGCCCTCGCGGCTCAGTCTGAGACCAGGCCTCGTGGTGAATCAGGGTCTGATCAACCAGGCTGTTACTGCTGACCACACACAAAATGACGTACAAATAACAGCCCAGCTGGTCAGGTACTGACTTAAGGCGCTTGTCCTGTGCCTTTCTTGAAGACAGCAAGGGATCTACTGGTAATCTCCCTTATGTATGCTGGGAGGCAGTTGAACAGTTTTGTGCTCCAGACACTTATTGTGTTGTCTCAGTGTACTCGTGGCACCTCTGCTTGTCATTGAGGGAATGTTGCATCTCCTGACAAGTCTTTTGCTTTCATAGGGAGTGATTTTCGTGTGCAAGTTTGGTACTAATCCCTCTAGGATTTTCCAAGTATACATTATCATGCATCTCTCTCGCCTGCATTCCAGGGAATACAAATCAAGGGCCTTCAACAGTTCCCAGTAATTTATGTGCCTTATTGTACTTGTGTGTGCCATGAAAGTTATTTGTACACTCTCCAGGTCAGCAATTTTGCCTGCATTGAAGAGGGCAGTTAGTGTACAGCAGTATTCCAGTCTAGAGAGAACAAGCAATTTGAAGAGAATCATCACGGGCTTGGCATCCCTAGTTTTGAAGATTCTCATTATCCATCCTACCATATTCCTAGATGATGTGGTAGATACATTGTTGTGGTCTTTGAAGGCGAAATCCTCTGACATTATCACTCTCAGGTCCTTCACATTACTTTTCGCTCTATTGTATAGTTAGAATTTGTCGTATATCCTGATTACAGTTTTAATTTCCTCACATCTGAGAAGTTGAAATTTCCTTCAGTGAACTTCATATAGATAAATTAGACACAGGTGCAACTCTTGGGTATCTTTATTGAGGAAACGTTTTGCCACACAGTGGCTTCATCAGTCCATACAAAGGAGAAACTTGAAGAACAGGAGGAGAATGAGGTAATCAGTCCCTCAGCCTTGAGTCTATGTGGTCAGTCCATCAATCGATGTGGCCTGACCACATCGACTCAAGGCTGAGGGACTGATTACCTCATTCTCCTCCTGTTCTTCAAGTTTCTCCTTTGTATGAACTGATGAAGCCACTGTGTGGCAAAACGTTTCCTCAATAAAGATACCCAAGAGTTGCACCTGTGTCTAAATTATCAACGTGTCGGTTCTCTGAACCATTGATCTACAACTTCATATAGTTTTGAAAGGCCCATTTGAAGATTTGGTTGATGTCCGGTTGGAGTCTTACAGTGTCTTCGATGGAGGTCACTGTCATGGCAATCCGGGTGTCATCCATAAAGGAAGATACGGATGGCTTACATGTCTGTCTATGTCAGATATGAGGATGAGGAATAGAATGTGATATCCAATTTTTCTTTATCTAAATCGTTTGATACCCTCACCTATCTATGTTCACTTTTGACTTTACCTTCACATACCCTCCCAAACTTGTCCACTAACTTTTGCAACTTTTATTTAGAATCCCCCAAAAGCAAAGTATCATCAGCAAGAAGTAACTGTCAATTCTCATTTTGTATTTGATTCTCCATAATTTAATCCCATCCCTCTCCCCAATACCCTAGCATTTACTGTTATTACAACCCCATCTACAAATCTACAATATGTTAAACAATCATGGTGATATTACACATCCTTGTCTAAAACCTACTTTTACTAGAAAGTAGTCTCCCTCTCCCCTACACACCCTAACCTGAGCCTCACTATCCTCATAAAAACTCTTTACAAAGTTTATCGAGAAATAAGAGAGATTTGGGCATATTTTGAACAAAATCACAAGTTTTATTAAAAAATCATTTCAGCATTTCTCTGTTTACTGATTTAAAGGTATTTTTCAAGTTATCAAGTGACACATAGGAGTAACTTTTTATTTCATGTAAGTGTTCCTCCAAAGACAATCTTTTGTTAATACTGATGAATTTTAACTGAAATATCAAAAGTTCTTAAATCTTGGTACTAAGCCAAATGTACAACAGCCTTAAATTAAAATAAGATGTTTTTTTTACCTGTTCTCTTTACTTCCCAGTGTTACTTAACATTCTAAGTATGAAAGATCTTCAAAAAATATATATATGATTTATGAAATGATAATGCTTGAGGTCACTGGAAAACACTGGATGCAATATTGTAACTTAAAAAAGAAATAAATCATTAAATACTAAGTTTTAGCATGATACCTTAGTGAGAAGAAATAACTTCCTTTTTTCTGCTAGCTGTGTAACCTCTGCCACTAGAGCTTCATCTACCTGCCCCACTTTCTTCCCTCCTTCTTCATCCTCGGATTCTTCAGTGGTTTCTTCTTCACTTTCATCAGCTTGTACAAAAGCAGGAAAAAATAATTAGTGATATTACATAAAGAAAATACAGTACAAAACTTTACCAATACATGCTATAAATTCAGAACTGACTCAAGTATATCCGTCTCCTTTTGTTTAAATTACCTTTTCTCTTTCTCTTCTTTTTATTGTGACTCCCTGATTTTCTTGCGCTAGGCTGTGGTAGAGGTCCCTGCTTTTGTCGCATGATCTCTGAGAATGCTTCTCTATACCACTGACCAATAAAAAAGTGTCTAGCATGGAGGAGGGCAGATTCACTTCCAGAATTGACGGCCAACCAGTCTAAGAGCACACGTTGCAGGAACATCGTCCGCTCCTCTTCCTCATCTGATGGTCTTTCATTTTCCTTGAATTTATCGCTTCCACTCTTCTGTTTTGAACAAGACAATATACAGAATACCATACATTAATTACCATTTTAAATTTAAAAAATCATAACTTAGTTAAATACTAATGGTTAATAATAAAAATAATAATGAAATATTAATAAAATAAAATAATAATTAATAAAAGAATAATACTCCATGGGGAAAGAGGAGAAGAATCCTTCCTCCATAAGCCATACATGTCATAAGAGGCAACTAAAATGCTAGGAGCTAGGGGGCTAGTAACCCCTTCTCCTGTATAAATTACTTAGTAAAGAGAAGAAAAAGTTATTTCTTCTTTTTTGGGTCGTCCTGTCTTGGTAGGACATGGCCAGTGTTAAAAACAAAAAAAAAAAAAAAAAAAAAAAAAAAAAAAGTAATTAAAATGGAAAAAGAATCTTTCCTCCGTAAGCCATGCGTGTTGTAAAAGTCAACTAAAATGCCGGGAACAATGGGCTAGTAACCCCTTTTCCTGTAAAGATTACTAAAAAGAATAAGAAGAAGAAAATTGTCAAAGTGGGAAGTCTGAATGTGCGTGGATGTTGTGCAGATGATAAGAAAGAGATGATTGTGGATGTTATGAATGAGAAGAAGCTGGATGTCCTGGCTTTAAAGTGAAACAAAGCTGAAGGGGTGGGAGAGTTTCAATGGAGAGGAATAAATGGGATTAGGTCAGGGGTTTCAAATAGAGTTAGAGCTAAAGAAGGAGTAGCAATAATGTTGAAGGATAAGCAATGGCAGGAAAAGAGGGACTATAAATGTATTAATTCAAGGATTATGTGGAGTAAAATAAAGATTGGATGTAAAAAGGGGGTTATAATAAGCGTGTATGCACCTGGAGAAGAGAGAATTGTAGAGGAGAGAGAGAGATTTTTTGGGAAAAGTTGAGTGAATCGTGGGAGTTTTGAATCAATGTGAAGTAAAGGTGGTTGGGGATTCAATGCTAAAGTGGGTAAAAATGTTATGGGGGAGGTAGGTAAATTTGGGGTGCCAGGGGTAAATGTAAATGGGGAGCCTTTAATTGAGCTATGTGTAGAAAAAAATTTGGTAATAAGTAATACATATTTTATGAAAAAGAGGATAAATAAATATACAAGGTATGATGTAGCACGTAATGAAAGTAGTTTATTAGATTATGTATTGGTGGATAAAAGGTTGATGGTAGGCTCCAGGATGTACATGTTTTAGAGGGGCAACTGATATATCGGATCATTATTTAGTTGTAGCTACAGTTAGAGTAAGAGGGTAGATGGGAAAAGAGGAAGGGGGCAACAACAAGTAAGAGGGGTGAAAGTGTATAAACAAGGGAGGAGGAAGTTCGGGGGAGATATAAGCGACTATTGGCAGAAAGGTGGGATAGTGCAAAGATGAGTAATGGGGGGGTTGAAGAGGGTTGGAATAGTTTTAAAAATGCAGTATTAGAATGTGGGGCAGAATTTGTGGTTATAGGAGGGTGGGTGCAGGAGGAAAGGGGAGTGATTGGTGGAATGATGAAGTAAAGGGTGATAAAAGAGAAAAAGGTAGCTTATGAGAGGTTTTTACAAAGCAGAAGTGTTATAAGAAGAGCAAAATTTATATGGAGTAAAAGAAAGGTAAAGAGAGGGGTGAGAGAGTGCAAAAGGAGAGCAGATGATAGAGTGGGAGAGGCACTGTCAAGAAATTTTAATGAAAATAAAAAAAAATTTTGGAGTGAGTTAAACAAGTTAAGAAAGCCAAGGAAAATATGGTTTTTGTCAGTTAAAAAAAGAGTAGGGGAGTTAGTAGATGGGGAGATGGAGGGATTAGGTAATGGCGAGAATTTTGAGGAACTTTTAAATGTTAAGGAAGAAACAGGGCAGTAATTTCATGCACTGGTCAGGGAGGTATACCATCTTTTAGGAGTGAAGAAGAGCAGAATGTAAGTGTGGGGGAGGTACGTGAGGCATTACGTAAAATGAAAGGGGGTAAAGCAGCTGGTACTGATGGGATCATGACAGAAATGTTAAAAGCAGGGGGGGATATAGTGTTGGAGTGGTTGGTACTTTTGTTCAATAAATGTATGAAAGAGGGGAAGGTACCTAGGGATTGGCGGAGAGCATGTATAGTCCCTTTATATAAAGGGAAAGGGGGCAAAAGAGACTGTAAAAATTATAGAGGAATAAGCTTACTGAGTATACCAGGAAAAGTGTACGGTAGGGTTATAATTGAAAGAATTAGAGGTAAGACAGAATGTAGGATTGCGGATGAGCAAGGAGGTTTCAGAGTGGGAGGGGATGTGTAGATCAAGTGTTTTACATTGAAGCATATATGTGAACATATTTAGATAAAGGTAGGGAAGTTTTATTGCTTTTTATGGATTTAGAAAAGGAAATATGATAGAGTGGATAGAGGAGCAATGTGGCAGATGTTGCAAGTAAAAGGAATAGGTGGTAAGTATTAAATGCTGTAAAGAGTTTTTATGAAAAATGTGAGGCTCAGGTTAGGGTGTGTAAAAGAAGAGGGAGACATTTCCCGGTAAAAGTAGGTCTTAGACAGGGATGTGTAATGTCACCATGGTTGTTTAATATATTAAAAGATGGGGATGTTAAGGAAGTAAATGCTAGGGTGTTTGGGAGAGGGGTGGATTAAATTATGGGGAATCAAATTCAAAATGGAATTGACACAGTTACTTTTTGCTGATGATACTGTGCTTATGGGAGATTCTAAAGAAAAATTGCAAAGGTTAGTGGATGAGTTTTGGAATGTGTGTAAAGGTAAAAAGTTAAAGTGAACATAGAAAGAGTAAGGTGATGAGGGTGTCAAATGATTTAGAAAAAGAAAAATTGGGATATCAAATTGGGGGGGAGGAGTAAAGGGAAAAAGTGAATGTTTTCAGATACTTGGGAGTTGACGTGTCGGCGGATGGGGTTTATGAAGGGGTGAGGTAATCATAGAATTGATGAGGGAAAAAAAAGGTGAGTGGTGCGTTGAGGTATATGTGGAGTCAAAAACGTTATCTATGGAGGCAAAGAAGGGAATGTATTTAAAATATAGTAGTACCAACACTCTTTATGGGTGTGAAGCTTGGGTGGTAAATGCAGCAGCGAGAGACGGTTGGAGGCAGTGGAGATGTCCTGTTTTTAAGGGCAATGTGTGGTGTAAAATATTATGCAGAAAATTCGGAGTGTGGGAAAAATTTGGAGAAGGGGTGGAGTTAATAAAAGTATAGTCAGAGGGCAGAAGAGGGGTTTGTTGAGGTGGTTGGTCATTTTGAGAGAATGGATCAAAGTAGAATGAATGGAAAGCAAAATAAATCTATAGGGAAGGAAGGCGGGGGAGGGGTCGTCCTCGAAAGGGTTGGAGAGAGGGGTTTAAAAGGGGGTTTTGTGGGTAAGGGGCTTGGGCTTCCAGCAAGCGTGCATGAGCGTGTTAGATAGGAGTGAATGGAGCGAATGGTACTTGGGACCTGACGATCTGTTGGAGGTGAGCAGGGTAAATTTTAGTGAAGGGATTCAGGGAAACCGGTTATTTTCATATAGTCGGACTTGAGTCCTGGAAAATGGAAGTACAATGCCTGCACTTTAAAGGAGGGGTTTGGGATATTGGCAGTTTGGAGGGATATGTTGTGTATCTTTATATGTGTATGCTTCTAGACTGTTGTATTCTGAGCACCTCTGCAAAAACAGTGATAATGTGCGAGTGTGGTGAAGGTGTTGAATGATGATGAAAGTATTTTCTTTTGGGGATTTTCTTTCTTTTTTGGGTCACCCTGCCTCGGTGGGAGACGGCCGACTTGTTGAAAAAAAAAAAAAAAAAAAAAAAAAAAAATGCTGGTTTTAAAAAATAATTAAAATTAAGTACTGATGATATTACAGCATCTGGAAGAAGTTACCAAAGAAGGTTAAAAAAAAAAAATACACCAGAGAATACCAATGACAAACCTTTGACCAGTTTCAAGGGATCTTCTACCCTTCCAGATCAGCCTGAGGCCAGTCTTCCTTGCTGACTACCTGGTCAACCAGGCTGTTTATACTAGAGGTCCATAGGCCTATATACACAATGGAACCTAAATGAATAAGACTATTTCACTTGATAATGTAGTGATCTAGTATCCTCTTGAAAACTTTTTTTTGTTCCTGCAAAAACTTTTCATACCTGCTAGTACATAATAGGTTTTTTATTATCTGGAGAGTAGGGATGAAAGGAACAATTTATAGGGTGGAGGAGGGAGTCTTGAGATAGGTGGGTAATAAAGTATAACTGCAGCAAGAATAGAGAAGAAAAAGGAGTATAAATATGGGGTGCATGGAAGGAGAGGCAGAAACCATCTCAGGAAGAATTGGAAAGAAGATAATGAAGGAAGATTTGAGCATGCAGGACTGGAGTGGTTTTCCACATTTGACATTTGATCGGGGAGTGAGGAAAGTAATATTTATGAAGGGATTCAGGGAAAATGGTTAGTTGGACTTGCATTCTAGAGGGAAGAAGTACAATGCCTATACTCTTGAGGATTGGTGGTGCTGCTGCAGTTTGGAGGGTCACTAATATGTGATGTTGAAAAATTAGTGGTGAATGCATTTCCTTCTTTGTGTCTCCCTACCTAGGTGATAATTGTATGATATGGTTTTGGTTAAATTGGAAGACAAACAAAATGTAGAGACAGTGCACACAGACTTTGAAAAAGTCGTCAACATGGGCAATTGTGGTGTAATAGAATGCAAAATACATAACTGGAAAAGTGGGCAGATGGAAATTCAACTTTCCAGCAAGCAGACCTTAAATAACAGAAAACACAGTACAATAAAAGGCTGGCATAGTGCAAAGCTCTGCTCCCCAAGGAACAGTAATTGCCCCCATTTCTCTTATTCTCTTATCTGACAGAGATACACACATAAATCACAGCATAGTATTAACTTTTGCAGGCAATGCTAGAATCTATACGAGAACACAGCAAATTTTTAAGTCATCTGGTGGGCCACTGAAAACATGATGTTGAATAAGGATAAATTTAGTTACTCGACTATAGAAAAACCGAGGAAACAGACTT